GCGAGAGAGCGCGAGAAAAGCATGTCCATGCTGACAGGAGAGAGATCTCTCCCCTCTCAGCTTTAGCAGCGATTACTGAGTGCTGGCCAAGAAATACCGGCTGGAACCCGGTGATTAACATCCGCTCCAACCAATGGCAGTGTGGGTAGGGCAGCAAGTGGAAACCCCCCTACCCGCAACTGCAAAAATCACATATATTTACGTGGTTTTGCGCAGAGCAGCCGCCCTGTAGCAGTATATATCTGCTATAGGGCGGTAGGTAAATGGTAATTTGATTTTCACATTTGTGGTAACATTGGGGCTGTTTAGGTCATACTTTCAACTTCTTCCAGCATTTTATGCCTATAATTTAGATTTAAAGTGGAGTTCCACTCACCCTGTCAAAAAATAAAAGTCAGCAGCTACAAAAACTGTAGCTGCTGACTTTTAAAAAACAGCCACTTACCTGTCCCTCGGTCCCGTGCAGCCCGTTTCACTGGCCATCCTGTATTCCAGGAGGCCAGAATCTTCAGTGTGGGCACCCGGCTGTGATCGCCTAGGCAATAGGAAGTGGGAGAGGGTACCTGTGAAATTCGCGTACCCACTCTCCCCCCGCCCCCCAAAAGGTGCCAATCCTTAATGGGGAGCAGTCCTTAAAGCGGAACTTCCCTTTTGGGTGGAGCTCCGTATAAGTGTTTTTTTTTCTTTTAGACAATGGAAACCCAGTTACTAGTTAGAGAGGCAAGAAAACGCGCATTTTTCTGGCACTCCCATTAAATCTTAAATTATGTGGCTGCCTCAAAAACGCTCATGTACGTTTTGAAGCTTGGAGTGACACATTTTTCAGGCTCCATTCACACTTAAAGGGTAACTGAACACGTGGCACAGAGTGAGTGCCCAGTAAACACGCATTTTGACAGCAGGGTGGTGTTTGCCACACATTTTGTCACACTACACAAAACACACCAAAACATGTAAGGTGCAAAATCATGCCACGCCCTGCTCCAGTAACAGTTTTGGAGCTCTTAGGGTAGCCCCTTCAAGTGAATAGGCTGCCCCATGCACAAGGAGTGCATAGATCCCAAATGCCCCTGATTTTGAGGGGCTGTCCCTCATTTGGAACAAAGTCCTTTTGTCCTCATCATTTGTCTCTCATTTTGATTTGTGTATAGTTGTATATAAAATGCACTATCAAAAAGAAATTTTACAGTGTTAAACCTTTTATCTAATTACTAAATGTCTGCATTTGTAAATTTCCAAAGCCAATATGAAGGAATAGTAGTGGTCAAAAAAACTACTTGTGTGCTTAACAAACAATTGTTTTTATATAATTCTCCTTCAAGGGGGTGCGTGTCCTGTGCCAACATACTTTTGCTAATCTTTTCCCATCTTAGAAAGTCGGGAGGTGGAAATTTAACACACACACACACACCTTTTTTTGAACAGGTGCAGGGACCAGGGGCGGACTGACAACTCATGGGGCCCCCGGGCAATAGGGGATCATTGGGCCCCTGTGTCCTTGCCCAAACTCAAAAAAGCCTATGAAAAAAAGGTACCAGGGGCATCTCATGGGGCCCCCTACTGACCCCAGGCCCTCGGGCAATGCCCGAGTTTCCAAATGGTCAGTCCGCCCCTGGCAGGGACTCCCCCTTTCTGAGTCCATTTCCCCCTACCCACCTCCCAGTACTGCCCCTTTTAGACAATACAGAACCAAGTATCATTTTGTGGTGCTAAATAATTATGTGTTAGTTAATGCGAACAAGAAAAGCAGTAAAATAGATCCCCTGCAGCCAGCAACAATGGACCCCATCCCAGCAACGATAGGTCCCTCAGCAACAATAGATCCTCTGCAGCAACAATAAAGTCTACCCCAGCAACCATAGATCACACTCTAGCAACAATAGAGCCCTCACACAAAAATAGACCCCCCCACACAGCAACAATGGACCGTCCACAGTAAAATACCACCCCCACCAGCATTAGACCCCCAGCAACAACAACAGATCTCCCAACAGCCAACAACCTCTCTTTCAACAGTAAATCCCTACTAGCAACATAAGTCCAACAACAATATATCCCCCACCAGCAACAATAGACCCTCGCACACAAACAGATTCCCACCAATTACAATATATTCCCCAGCAGCCAGCATCAATAGACCCTCCAGCACACTCCACCAGAAGAAAAGACAAGCAAATGCTGTGACTCCTGTGTTGGACTCCACAGTAACTGTAACCACACATAGGATGCACGCCTTGCTGCCCTCAACGGACCAGGGAAATCCAAATGAACTGCATACAAAGAAAAACAGAGAGTGCACGGGCCTAGTGCTATTATGGAAAAAAGCTCAAACTATGCCATTCAGTCACAGAGTTCTGAGAATGAGAGAACTACAACTAATGTCAGCCTTTGCAGTTCTTATTGAACTACTAGGGTACTCTAGGTAGTTAATTGATCCTTCCTGTCATTCCATACCTGCCTGCACGCATGATGTATGGGTAGACAGTATACGCAGAGAGTCTGCAGGATCCAGACATTGCACCCCCAATATAATGATTGCGGGTGCAAGGTCTTACAGGCTGAAATGTAAAAAAAAAAAAATTATAAAAATGGTCAAATTTTTTTTACCTGCAAAAGATATGTATTTATTTATTTTTTTTTTTTTTTCACAAAGGTGAACTTATCCTTTAGGCGTGTACCTGTGTCAGGTAGGATAGCCTCTAGCAGTGAGGGAAAAGTTGTCACTTCTTCCGCAGCGGTCTATCTCCCATAGCAACGGGGGTGGAACAGTACAGCCGAGGTTCCCAGCCTGTGCAGAGGTACGGGAAGTCAAGTTAAGAGTTAAGTCAAGTGCACGCATGGAGCACGTGGTGAGGGTACAGCAGGTCTCCATACCGCTACTGGGATTGAGGAACTGGATAACGCTGGATGGATGGAAGTAGACAGGCTCAGCATGTCCCTCCTAAATTCAAGTTACAGTGAAGGTGTACATTGACATGGGAACCCAAGAGTTAAGGTGCAAGTATACACAGTGTACGTTCATCTCTATGAGCAGAGGCCCGCCTTAAGTTTGAGTATTCCCTGACAGTGGCCTCAGCTTTGTCCCAGGGCATGAATGAAAATAGAAGAGATAATGGGTACCCCATGTGCAAGGAGAGTGACCCTGTTACAGGTGCCTAGTGTAGCCCAGAAGAACCCACCCCGGGGGCAGTCCTTATTTGACCCAGACTTGGCACCCAACAAGTTAATGGGAAACATGATGCAAAGGACCATCATCACCTGCGCCATGCCTACATATAGGGAGGCTGATTTACTAAAGGTAAACATACTGTGCACTGCAAGTGCAGTTGCTCCAGAGCTTAGTAAATGAGGTAAAGCTTCACTTTGCAAAGAATACCCAATCACATGAAGATAAATAAAACAAAACAGCATTTTGGCTTGCACCTGATTGGACAATAGAAACCAGCAGAGATTCCCTTCATTTTAGAGCATCCCCCAGATCTAGAGCAACTACATTTGAAGTGCACAGACTATTTGCCTTTAGTTAATCAACCCCAAAGTGTTGGTATTTTATTTTGAATTTGGCACAGGTGTTGCACCACAATGTACCTGAAACTAACTGAATTTGATGCACAAGTTGCTATCAGAACAAAAACTGTCACAGATGTTTTTTTGGGTTAGGTTCAACATATTAACAAGAACAACTAACACGGAAAAGTGGCGCAGCAGCTTTACTGAATTCTCTCCATAGTGTGAATTAAGCCATACACTCTTGTTTCCTTTTCACACAACTGCAGTCATAGATGTGAAGCAGCCCCATAGAAATAAATACAGTTTGCACAATCTGACTTTTAATGTGGCAGAATGCAGGAGTTTTGTTTAATGAGAGCAGACTGTGTTCACTGGTCCCAATTTGACAACTGTTCCGGTGCAGGTGCGTCCCCCATAGACAGACAGTGTGTGTTCAGGGATATGCACTGTAGAGCTGTCAAATTGGGACCAATGGCTTTCTCTGGTCAGCCTCTGCATCCCAATCAACAAGAATGGGACTGCCTGCAGGCGAATACATAGAACACCTGTACATCCTGTGCAGGGACAAAAGACTGCCCATTGCACAGGTGTATGCATTGGTGTACCCATGTGAATGAGGCCTTAATAGGCCCAAAAACCTCATCACAACGGGTGGCACTCCCTGCAGTGCTTTGCCATTTATTTTGAATATTTACATTAGAGATGAGCGAATCAAACATGGCGAAGTGGAATTCGTTTCGAATATTGGGAAATATTCGATTCGCGCCGAATCCGAAAATTAGCCAACTTCGGATGCATGAATCGAATTTTCCCAAAAATGGTGGCGACATGTGTGGCGACGGAGCGGGGATCTCTGGGAAGGCGCGCAGACAAGGCGCGCTGACCCATAATGCATTCATTCATGACGTGATCGCATTAGCCAATCAGCAGCCAGCCAGCCAGCACTGTGTAATGGTGGAGCTATAAATTGCGGCCATCTTACAATTCTCCATTAGCCTCCGGTCATTCAAGAGAGACAGACCTGTCTGTATTTGTCAGGAATGGACTGGCCAGCAATGGTGGGACTCACCTGCCTTTTGATCTGCAGTACCAGGGCTGGCCAGCGGGTGCTCCCAGCAATCAGAGACTCAACCTTTCAGCCTGCTAACACCTGGAACTGATGATACTGGTGTATTTAACCACTTCCTGTCCGGACACTTTTACCCCCTTCCTGTCCAGGGCAATTTTCAGCTTTCAGCGCTATCACACTTTGAATGACAATTGCGCGGTCATGCAATACTGTACCCATATGAATTTTTTACCATTTTTTTGAGACAGATAAAGCTTTATTTTGGTGGTATTTATTCACCGCTGGGATTTTTATTTTTTTTACTATGTAAATGAAAAAGTCCAAAAATTTTGAAAAAAGTGTTTTTTTTTTTATAAAATTTTGCAAATAAATAATATTTCATCCTAAATCTTGGCCAAAATTTATTCCGTTATTTTTTTAGTAAAAAAAAAAATCCAAATTAGTTTATAACCAAACATTATAATTTTTAAACATTTTTTTTTACATTTTTATTTTATTTTTTATTTTTACATACTGTCACCCTAGCAGTACAGTGTCACCATGGTGACACTGTACTACTTGTGGGGGGTGATGAAGATTTTTTTTTTTTTTTTTTTTTACACTGATTGCTTTTACACCCATATAGGATGTAAAAGCAATCATTTCTCTTTCTCTCTGTCTGCATTCTTGCAGTCATTGAGAAATACTGAGTGAGCTGTGATTGGTCACAGCTTGTCACATGGTACAAGGCTGTTGTGAATAGCCTTGTACCATGTGACCTCTGTGATCATTCACAGATTTCACACGTAGTAAGCAATGATGTCACAAGTGACATCTTGCTCACTACTTTGCATGTGATCACTGATTCGCCAATCAGTGATCACATGACCGGGACCTCGTACAGAGGTCCCGTCCGACGATCGGTGTTTCACTGTGTCCGGAGGACACAGCGGACACCGGATCGCGGTGGTGCGCGCTCCTAGGGAGCGCGCACAGCTAGAAAAGGCGGGTGCCGTTTAGGAACGGCAACCCGACCTTGGACTGCCACCGCCCTGCCGTTTATAAACAGCAGGCGGATGGCAAGAGGTTAAGGGATGGCCAGACTTGCAGACTCTGCCTTGGTGTTGTGTTTGTCCTGGGCCCTGTATCTGTCCTGCATCCTGTTTCTGTTCCTTTGCTACCTGTTCTGATCCCTGGCTTGTGACCCTGACCATCCCTCTGCCTGACCCTCTGTACTACGCTGCTTGCTACCTGCTGAACCTGGCCTGTGACCCCGACCATTCTCCGCTTGCTCCCCCTGTACCTACCTGCCCAATTGATATTGACTCGGCCTGCCTGACGACGCTTGCTTGTATGTACTGTTATCTGTGGGTGGTTGGGTTTGTTTGCACTGTATTATGTTTAGTATTGCACTGCGTTTATGTTTGTATGGTTAGTGTTAATAAATTGTATTGTTTATCACATATCTGAAGTCTGCGTTTCCCTGCATCAGTCACACACCTCTGGTCACACCTGGGAGCCCTGACATTACACCAAGGCCAATCCTGACCAGAAGTGGCTGCACAGGGAAGCCATCTTGGCTTGTTGATGGGAAGGATGGATCTTGATGAGGTTGAATATATTTATATCTGCTAGTGTTTGATGACAGGGAGTATGCTTATCAAACTCTGAAGGAGTATACCCGGGATGAACTGCTAGAATGTATACGGCTCGCTCATGTTCTAGTAGATCAGGGCACAGAGTTCTCTGAGGTGCAGCCATTGATTGAGGTTTGTGCTGAGTTGGTTTCATCTGGTACCCCCGAATGCAGGGATGAATTTTTGCCACCATTTAGTGCAGACCAGGTAGAGTCCCTGGTGTGGTTATTAGAGGATGATATGGGTTACTTTCTGGAGCGTTATTCCACATGTTCACCACAGACACTAAGAGATTGTATAAACGCAGTGCAGTCATTGACCAGACAGGCTTTGTGTAAGCTCAGCTTTGTTCAACCCATACTGCAGCAGACATGGACAGATTTGTTGCACCCAGCCTCAGTCAGCTTACAAAGACCCAGTCCTGCTTCTAATCTATTTCCTCAAAACTCTATTCCTGCATTCCCAACAGCTCCTCCTGCCCTGCTATCTACCGCATGTCAGTACCCTGTTCCCACTCGCTGCACCTATCCTGCCTTTAACCCTGTAAAAGAGCCCTCTGTAGCAACTGCTCCCTCTCCTGTTCCATCCTCCAGTTCTTCTCTGTCTCCAGCTGCTCCATTCGTTTGCAGACCTGCGTTTACTTGCAGTGCTCCAGTAGTTTAAAACCAGAAAAAAGCGAAAATTCTTTCCAACCAATACCATCCTGCCAGTATCCAAACCGGTGAGCCTGCCTTCCGTGGTTCAGCCTGAAGCCTCTACTCGGGCCTGATGCCTCTACTCGGCCTGATGCCTCTACTCGGCCTGAAGCCTCTACTCGGCCTGAAGCCTCTACTCGGCCTGATGCCTCTACTCGGCCTGATGCCTCTACTCGGCCTGATGCCTCTACTCGGCCTGAAGCCTCTACTCGGCCTGAAGCCTCTACTCGGCCTGAAGCCTCTACTCGGCCTGAAGCCTCTACTCGGCCTGAAGCCTCTACTCGGCCTGAAGCCTCTACTCGGCCTGAAGCCTCTACTCGGCCTGAAGCCTCTACTCAGCCGGACGCCGGCATTCAGCCTGATGCCTCTACCCAGCATGATGAACTGATCCAGCCTGACGATCCTATTAGGCCAGTTGACTCGATGCCCGCTGTTGATCCAGATGATCCGGTACCTGATCCGGTGCCCGCTGTCGTGCCAATTGACTCAGAGCCCGCTGTCGTACCTGGTGACTCGGTGCCCACTGCCTTGCCAGATGACGCGGTGCCCGCTGGCGAGCCAAATGACCTGATGCCTGGTGACCCAGTGCCCGCTGTCATACCTGGTGACCCGATGCCCGCTGTCGAGCCAGACGATCCAATGCCTGGTGACCCGGCGCCCACTGCCTTGCCAGATGACGCGGTGCCCGCTGGCAAGCCAAATGACCTGATGCCTGGTGACCCAGTGCCCGCTGTCATACCTGGTGACCCGATGCCTGCTGTCGAGCCAGACAATCCGGTACCTGATGACCCGGTGCCCACTGTCGTGCCTGTTGACTCGGAGCCCACTGCCTTGCCAGATGACGCGGTGCCCGCTGTCGAGCCAAATGACCTGATGCCTGGTGACCCGATGCCCCGCTGTCCAGCCAGACGATTCAATGTCTGCCCCAGTGCCCGCGGTCATGCCAGTTGACTCGGGAACCCACTGCCTTGCCAGATGACACGGTGCCCGCTGTCGAGCCAAATGACCTGATGCCTGGTGACCCGATGATGCCCGCTGTCCAGCCAGACGATCCAATGTCTGACCTAGTGCCAGCGATCATGCCAGTTGACTCGGAGCCCACTGTCGTGCCTGGTGACTCGGTGCCCGCTGCTCCGCCTGGGGGCCCGAGACCTGTCGCTCCGCCTGGGGGTCCAGCGCCCGCCGCTCCACCTGGGGGTCCGGCGCCCGCCGCCCCGCCTGGGGGCCCGAGACCTGTCGCTCCGCCTGAGGGCCCGAGACCTGTCGCACCGCCTGGGGGTCCGGCGCCCGCCGCTCCGCCTGAGGGCCCGAGACCTGTCGCTCCACCTGGGGGTCCGGCGCCCGCCGTTCCGCCTGAAGGCCCGAGACCTGTCGCTCCGCCTGGGGGTCCGGCGCCCGCCGCTCCGCCTGAGGGCCCGAGACCTGTCACCGCCTGGGGGTCCGGCGCCCGCCGCTCCGCCTGAGGGCCCGAGACCTGTCGCTCCGCCTGGGGGTCCGGCGCCCGCCGTTCCGCCTGAAGGCCCGAGACCTGTCGCTCCGCCTGGGGGTCTGGCGCCCGCCGCTCCGCCTGAGGGCCCGAGACCTGTCGCACCGCCTGGGGGTCCGGCGCCCGCCGCTCCGCCTGAGGGCCCGAGACCTGTCGCTCCGCCTGGGGGTCCGGCGCCCGCCGTTCCGCCTGAAGGGCCCGAGACCTGTCGCTCCGCCTGGGGGTCCGGCGCCCGCCGCTCCGCCTGAGGGCCCGAGACCTGTCGCTCCACCCGGGGGTCCGGCGCCCGCCGCTCCGCCTGAGGGCCCGAGACCTGTAGTTCCGCCTGGGGGTCCGGTGCCCGCCGCCCCGCCTGGGGGCCCGATGCCCGTCGCCCCGCCTGGGGGCCCGATGCCCGTCGCCCCGCCTGGGGGCCCGAGGCCTGTAGCTCCATCTGGGGGTCCGGCACCCGCCGCTCCGCCTGGGGGCCCGATGCCTGTCGCCCCGCCCGGGGCCCGATGCCTGTCGCCCCGCCCGGGGGCCCGAGGCCTGCCGCCCCGCCCGGGGGCCCGAGGCCTGCCGCTCCGCCCGGTGGCCCGCTGCCTGCCGCTTCGCCTGGTAGCCCGATGTGCCTCTGCCCGGGGGGTCCTGCCCGATGTGCCTCTGCCCGGGGTCCTGCCCGATGTGCCTCTGCCCGGGGTCCTGCCCGATGTGCCTCTGCCCGGAGTCCTGCCCGATGTGCCTCTGCCCGGAGTCCTGCCCGATGTGCCTCTGCCCCGGAGTCCTGCCCGATGTGCCTCTGCCCGGAGTCCAGCCCGATGTGCCTCTGCCCGGAGTCCAGCCCGATGTGCCTCTGCCCGGAGTCCAGCCCGATGTGCCTCTGCCCGGAGTCCAGCCCGATGTGCCTCTGCCCGGAGTCCAGCCCGATGTGCCTCTGCCCGGAGTCCTGCCCGGTGTGCCTCTGCCCGGAGTCCAGCCCGGTGTGCCTCTGCCCGGAGTCCTGCCCGGTGTGCCTCTGCCCGGAGTCCTGCCCGGTGTGCCTCTGCCCGGAGTCCTGCCCGATGTGCCTCTGCCCCGGAGTCCAGCCCGATGTGCCTCTGCCCGGAGTCCAGCCCGATGTGCCTCTGCCCGGAGTCCAGCCCGATGTGCCTCTGCCCGGAGTCCAGCCCGATGTGCCTCTGCCCGGAGTCCAGCCCGATGTGCCTCTGCCCGGAGTCCAGCCCGATGTGCCTGCCCTGTCCCCCGATGGAGTCCAGCCCGATGTGCCTCTGCCCGGTGTGCCTCTGCCCGGAGTCCTGCCCGATGTGCCTCTGCCCGGAGTCCTGCCCGATGTGCCTCTGCCCGGAGTCCAGCCCGATGTGCCTCTGCCCGGTGTGCCTCTGCCCGGAGTCCAGCCCGATGTGCCTCTGCCCGGAGTCCAGCCCGATGTGCCTCTGCCCGGAGTCCAGCCCGATGTGCCTGCTGCCCGGAGTCCAGCCCGATGTGCCTCTGCCCGGAGTCCAGCCCGATGTGCCTCTGCCCGGAGTCCAGCCCGATGTGCCTCTGCCCGGAGTCCAGCCCGATGTGCCTCTGCCCGGAGTCCTGCCCGGTGTGCCTCTGCCCGGAGTCCTGCCCGGTGTGCCTCTGCCCGGAGTCCTGCCCGATGTGCCTCTGCCCGGAGTCCTGCCCGATGTGCCTCTGCCCGGAGTCCAGCCCGATGTGCCTCTGCCCGGAGTCCAGCCCGATGTGCCTCTGCCCGGAGTCCAGCCCGATGTGCCTCTGCCCGGAGTCCAGCCCGATGTGCCTCTGCCCGGAGTCCAGCCCGATGTGCCTCTGCCCGGAGTCCAGCCCGATGTGCCTCTGCCCGGAGTCCAGCCCGATGTGCCTCTGCCCGGAGTCCAGCCCGATGTGCCTCTGCCCGGAGTCCAGCCCGATGTGCCTCTGCCCGGTGTGCCTCTGCCCGGATGTCCTGCCCGATGTGCCTCTGCCCGGAGTCCTGCCCGATGTGTGCCTCTGCCCGGAGTCCAGCCCGATGTGCCTCTGCCCGGTGTGCCTCTGCCCGGAGTCCAGCCCGATGTGCCTCTGCCCGGTGTGCCTCTGCCCGGAGTCCAGCCCGATGTGCCTGCCCTGCCCGGAGTGCCTCTGCCCGGAGTCCATGTGCCTCTGCCCGGAGTCCAGCCCGATGTGCCTCTGCCCGGAGTCCAGCCCGATGTGCCTCTGCCCGGTGTACCGCTGCCCGGAGTCCTGCCCGGTGTGCCAGTCTTTGATATCCCGCCAGTTACCAGACCCGGGCGGTGGAACATTTTTTCCCAGCTAGGACTGTTTGGAGCGTCCTGAGGCCGCTCCTTGAGGGGGGGGGTACTGTCAGGAATGGACTGGCCAGCAATGGTGGGACGCACCTGCCTTTTGATCTGCAGTACCAGGGCTGGCCAGCGGGTGCTCCCAGCAATCAGAGACTCAACCTTTCAGCCAGCTAACACCTGGAACTGATGATACTGGTGTATTTAAGGGATGGCCAGACTTGCAGACTCTGCCTTGGTGTTGTGTTTGTCCTGGGCCCTGTATCTGTCCTGCATCCTGTTTCTGTTCCTTTGCTACCTGTTCTGATCCCTGGCTTGTGACCCTGACCATCCCTCTGCCTGACCCTCTGTACTACGCTGCTTGCTACCTGCTGAACCTGGCCTGTGACCCCGACCATTCTCCGCTTGCTCCCCCTGTACCTACCTGCCCAATTGATATTGACTCGGCCTGCCTGACGACGCTTGCTTGTATGTACTGTTATCTGTGGGTGGTTGGTTGGGTTTGTTTGCACTGTATTATGTTTAGTATTGCACTGCGTTTATGTTTGTATGGTTAGTGTTAATAAATTGTATTGTTTATCACATATCTGAAGTCTGCGTTTCCCTGCATCAGTCACACACCTCTGGTCACACCTGGGAGCCCTGACAGTATTAGGGACAGAGTTAGGGCCAGAGAGACTTTAGGGCCACAGAATCGTTACTGAGGGCCACAGAATTGTTACTTACTCAGGGACAGACACAGAATTGTTACTGAGGGACACAGAATTGTTACTGAGGGACAGAAACAGAATTGTTACTGAGGGACAGAAAAAGAATTGTTACTCAGGGACACAGAATTGTTACTCAGGGACACAGATTTGTTACTCAGGGACACAGAATTGTTACTCAGGGACACAGAATTGTTACTCAGGGACACAGAATTGTTACTCAGGGACACAGAATTGTTACTGAGGGACACAGAATTGTTACTGAGGGACAGACACAGAATTGTTACTGAGGGACACAGAATTGTTACTGAGGGACACAGAATTGTTACTGAGGGGGACACAGAATTGTTACTGAGGGACACAGAATTGTTACTGAGGGACACAGAATTGTTACTCAGGGACACAGAATTGTTACTCAGGGACAGACACAGAATTGTTACTGAGGGACACAGAATTGTTACTGAGGGACACAGAATTGTTACTGAGGGACACAGAATGGTTACTGAGGGACACAGAATGGTTACTGAGGGACACAGAATTGTTACTCAGGGACAGACACAGAATTGTTACTCAGGGACAGACACAGAATTGTTACTCAGGGACAGACATAGAATTGTTACTCAGGGACAGACACAGAATTGTTACTCAGGGACAGACACAGAATTGTTACTCAGGGACAGACACAGAATTGTTACTCAGGGACACAGAATTGTTACTCAGGGACACAGAATTGTTACTCAGGGACACAGAATTGTTACTCAGGGACACAGAATCGTTAAATTAAAGAGTATGTCAGACAACACGCAGAGGAGTGGCAGAGGAGGCAATGTTTCAGGAGCGAGCAGACGTGGCAGCAGAGGAAGGGGTCGAGGCAGCACTAGTCGTAGCCAGAGGCCAGTGCTCCCGGTGTCATCCAGCGGTCGTGTCTCCACCGACAACCCTGCCGTCATCGATTGGTTGGCTCGGTCGTCTTCCTCTTCCCAGGTCACCTCTGACACCTACAGCCAACGGTCGGTGGGTACGTCAGACACAACCGTTAGTTGGCATGGCCCGGGAGCAAGCCCACTGAAATCACGTGTCCTCGACCTGCCCTGTCCTTTGGTGTTCCCTCACCAAGCGAAGTATCGCATGCTGTGGGCTCAGCCCCACTGTACAGTGAGGAAGAGCTAACAGAGGGCGGTCAGGAACGGGGGGAGACATCCGCCTCTTCAGCAGCCAGGCGAAGAAGTACTGGCAAGGAGAGTGGCTCGGTAGCCGGTCTAGAGACAGGTCTGTCTCCTGACCCACACGCAGCCGAGAGGGGCTAGTAGTGAGGCGGAGACCCTAATTGATGATGATGAGGCTGATCGCACTTGGCAGCCTCGTCGTCATCAGGCTATTGCTTCCGCATCATCAGGAGAAGAGGGTGCCAGCTTGCCAGCGAGCAAAACAGTCGGTGGGTTGCCCAGGAGGCA